GTTGAGAGTTTCCTAAGCCCCAAAGGCATGTAAAGTAATAGCCCAGAACCCACAATACCAGCCATAAAGGCCACATTTTTACATACCAGGTAGGGGTTTAGGGTTTAGGTATCCTCTGAGCAGCACGTATAGACTCCACAGGAGCTTATGTAAGTTCCTCACTCCAAAGGGTCCAGGTCCTGAATCCTTATAGTCCCCTTTAAGTAGATAGGGGCTATATTGGGGATACATTGGGATAATGGAAAAGAAAATGGAAACCTACTATTTAGGGTTTAGGGTTATAGTCCCCCTTTAAGTAGGTAGAATATGGGGTATATGGAGATCTTATTCTAATATATCCGAAGCCATATCCTATCTACTTAAGGGCGGCTATAGGTACTTGCCGTTAGGACAACAGGAATTGAAGGACAGGTTTTGCAGAAGTGAATGATTATTGGATACTCGGGCCCTTAGGGTCAAGGCATTACAAGGGTGATGCTGATCTTTTCGGGGCTTTTTAGGGTTCAAAGTTTGAACCCTCAACCCTAAACCTTATAATCCTCAACCCTAGACCTCGACTCCCAGACCCCTGGGCCTGGTCCAGATTTATGCGACCAAAAAGCTGGGTTGGCCCAAAAAACCTTTGAAACATATTCGTATATAGGGTCCCTCGTTAAGCCATTAGGGAAAGCATTAAATATCCAAGGGCCCCTAAATCCTAAACTCTAAACCCTAAACCCCTAAACCCTAAACCCTACACCCTAAACCCCTAAACCCTAAACCCGAAACCCTACACCCTAAACCAGAAACCCTACACCCTAAACCCTAAACAAAAAAGTCTGCAGCAAGGCCCCGACAGAGTCATCCTCTCCTCATGCGCCTACAGCGTTGACTCTAGAGAGTTTTAGGGTTTGGGGTTGACGGTTTAGGGTTTAGGATTTAGGGTTGAGGGTCTAGGGTTGAGGGTTTAGGGTTTAGAATGGAAAAGACAATGGAAACTATTGTTTTATAACAGGGTATATATTGGGGTTGTAGGCCCCCTTAAGTAGATAAAATATTGGGTATCTGGGGATCTTATTATAGCTTACCCAAAGCCATGTTCCATCTACTTAAGGGAACTATAGGGTTTAGGGCTCAGGGTGTAGGTTTCAGGGTTGAGACTTTGGAGGTTGGGGTTTAAGGTTTCACCTGGACCTCAAAACAATAAAACATGATGATCCAAACCTTTAAAACTGTGCAAAAGGCCTTTGTTCTTGATACTTTGGGTGGTACAGATTCTTCGGTTCACCTGGAACCAAGTTTCGCGATGTCTTGCGAACCACGAAAGCCCTGCTCAATCCCGACTTTGAATGTGCTGCACGCACAAACATTCAGCCGGCAAGCTGCGCCTGTTGCGCTTTCAATGGTATCCGTCAAGCGCGAGACCTCAACTGAACTGGTTTGGACGGGCCCAGTTCTGATCTCAGCTCGGCAATCAAATGGATCAGCCTCGCAATGATTGCGCACTACCGGGCTTGAGCACAGCGCGAAACCGGGGTTTCCCAGGATCAGGGGTACCTGTTTGGGTTTCCAACAACAAGGAATATAGTATCTTAGGTTCCAAATTTGGGGTCCCGCCATTTGGGAATCTACCAAATGGCAACGAGATGCAACAATTTTCACAGTCTTTCTGCTCTGCCACAGTTACCACCCTTGGGTCCATCACCTTGAACAACACACGGCAACTAATTGAAGGATTGCGGTCTGAATTCAAGCTCTTAACATTAAATCCCGCCTGTGGTTCCCTTGTAAGGCGACCTGAGCTATAGTCTAAACTCCTAGTATCCCCCTTTCTATAGTAATCCTTTATTTATGTACCCCCCCCATACAACCACCTTTAAGGAGTCGAGACAATAACTTACCTGGATCTAATGCCTGTAGGGCTTTTCGTTTTTTTGGGGTTTACTAAACCCTAAACCCTCAACCCTAAACCCTAAACCCGAAACCCTACACCCTACACCCTAAACCCTAAACAAATTTTTTGGAAGTTGGCACCAAGTTTGTGCTCAGAAATGGGGAGTCCTGGTTTAGGGTTTGCAAGGGTTTGGAGTTTAGGGTTTAGGGGCTCGGGTTTAGGGTTTGGAGTTTAAGGTTTATCGTTAGGGTCAAAAGTTTGGGGTTTTGAGTTCAGGGTTTAGGGTTAAGGATTGAAATGCTTGAAGGTATGTTGAGCCTACGGTTCACAGGAACATCTGGGAGTTTCCCAAGACTGGGGATACCTCTTTGGCTCCTAAGAATCAGGGTTACAATAGTTTGGACTCTATATCATAGGGTCCCTCTTGTGGGAAACAAACTACCATATATACTTGGGGACTTTTAGTCGTTGATCTTAGCAGGTACATGTCCAACAGCGCCCAAGTATCTGTATAAGGCCCAGGGTATCTAGATAGCAATCCGTTGGAGGGATGCGCGATTTAGGTCTTTGGACGTTTGCCTCTTGGACCCTCAAAACCAGTGTGGGCTGGAGACCCAAAAAGCCGAAGCCCTAAATCATCCTAAATCTCACAGAGTCCCCGAAGCCTACCTGAAACTCCAATGACCTACTAACTAGGGTTTAGGGATTAGGATTTGGGGTTTAGGGTTTAAACCTTGATCAGTGGGTATAACCCGCGAAAGTGCTGGTAGCAGGGGTTACAGGTAAACCCCGCCACAACAGGCTATCTGACTCCCATCCCCCCTTCCCCTCGTGGAGGCGCTGGTTCCAAGCAAGGTATATGCATATATATATATTTATAATATTAGGAATTCCCAGCCCCAAATTGCGGATGTTATGGGTTCCGTAAATTACGGATGTTTTGAGTTATTTCCCAAATAACTAACCCTAAACCCTGAAACCCCCTAACCCGAAACCCTCAACCCCCATCCCCGGAAGTTCACGTCATCTTCAGCGCTCCTGAGCCCACCCCACCTGAACATTCAAAGGAGCCTTGCTGCCATGCATGTCCCAAATGATCCATGTGCGTATATGAGCCATAGTCTAAACTCCTTAAAGGGGGATTATATAGGGGATTACTATAGGGGTTATTAAGGGGTATACCAGGAGTTTAGACAGTAGCTCATATGGTATATACGCAGTGCTGGAAGGGGTTCTCATACAGTTGCTTCAAGGACCAGGAAACTGTGTGTGTGGGTGTATATGTTGTACGTGCGCAAGGCATTCCCGCATGTGCCCTTCAGGTTTAGGAGACGATTTTTAGAGCAAGCCCTTCTAGGGAAGCCTTCCCGTTTCTCTTGCACCTGCCCCGTCAGTCGGCAGTAGGACTGCGAAAACTTGAGCAGCTGGGGTCAAGCGGCATGCAGGAAGTGGTATTTCGGGGCTTGATGTTCGGCTTTAAGGGGCTCAGGGTTCCCTAGGGCTTTAGGGCCCAAACACTATACTACTATCTGTATTTGGGCCCTAAAACCCTATTACTTGAGTCCTTGGACCCTTAGGCCTCTAAAAACCTGTTATTTGGATCCCTGGACCCTTAAGGTTTAGGATGTTCATGGATCAGGTCGTTGACTGAGCTTTAAGATTGGGGGGACTTGTGGAAGATTCCCGGCGAGCTTTAGGGTTTCAAAGCATGGGCCCTTAAATTATAAACATCTTCATACACCCTAAGAAGGGGTTTCGGGTTTAGGTTTAGGACCCGAAGAAGGGTAGATCCAGGGGCCTTGCTTAAGGTCGAGTACCCCATCCTGGCAGGTCTATAGTAGAGTTTCGATGGGTTTAGGCTTTAGGGTTGAGGGTTCAGGAATTCGGGTGCAGGGGTTAAGGTTCAGGGGGCCTCAGCCGATTTCCTTCGTCGGTTTGGGCCCTCCTTTGTCAAGGACAGCGTGTACAACAGCTTCAACTTGCAAAGCTTCCCGCGGTTTAGGGTTTAGATTTAGGGCTTAGGTTCCGGGTTTAAGGTTGAGGAGTCTTAGAATCGTGGTCCCAAAGCCTTATTTTCCCTACTACGCCTCAGCCCCTGAATCCTTGCAAAAGTCTCGCACCACCAAACATACCAATTTGCATAGATGTATAGTCCCCTTTAAGTAGATAGACTATTGCTTTGGGTATGTTATAATAAGATCCCCATCTACCCCATATTGTCTCTACTTAAAGGAGGACTATAATATTTTCAAGTAGTCTGGGTATTGTATGCAGTGCAAAATTCCCTCCATTCACCATACCATGCAGCTGCACAGACAATCAGGTCTGACCCGCAAGCCCAAAACCTCTGAAGCTGACATCTCTATCTAAAGCTTAAACTTCTACAGCTTAGATCTCGAAAGCCTTCTCCTGCTAGAGCCTAAAATCTACTGCCCCATACATACCTAGGCTTGGGTGGGTGCGGGGTGGGATCGCACCACGTGTGACGATACGTGTACCGGGGCATAGGGTTCCGGCACTCCGAAGCGCCAGGCCAGGGCTCATCCCGCAGGTTTCTCAAGCGAAGGGAGCAGTGGCGGTTTGGGGTTTAGGGTTGAGGGTTTGAAATTAGGGTTTTGTTGCCAGTATGGGCTATTGGACCTTAAAGGCCGCTGAATCTACACATATTGGCATCCTTATGAGATTTGTTCAAGAACAAAAGCCCGTACAGGATGGGCTGTTAGACCTTAACAAGGTGGAAATTTCAGGGGGTAAAAACGGCCATACAGGGTCCTGTAGACGTGCTACAAGGCCCAAGATAGGGTCCATTTAATGGGGTTACTAAAGACCCCGAATCTACCCTTATGAGGGTCCAAATGAGGAATTTGAGGGTTCAAAAGCTCGTCAACACTCTACGCACCAACCTGTTGGGTACGGTATAAGAATACATAAAGCAGGTAGACTTGAGAAACCATGAGATTTCCAGACTCCATCTGAGCTATAGTCTAAACTCCTAGTATCACCCTGAATAACCCCTATAGTAGCCCCCTTTATAATGCCCTATATAATATACTGTATACCCCGCCTTAAGGAGTTTAGACCGCAGCTCAGCTGCGTACTGTCAGCAGGACTTTGCACCTGCAATTTCTGCCTCCGGAAAGAATGCTCGCAACCCGAGTACATCAGATCCTCGCAAATCGACTTGCAAAAGGCCTTGGTTGCTAGGATGGACCTTGCATAGAATCCCACACCGATCAAGCAAATTCAGCACCGATGCTCGCACATCTGATGTCTGCCATGACTCCCGCGACTTGCCCCAGCCCGTGATGATCTCGAAAGATGTGAGGCTCTGGCCGGCAGCAACTTTCCGTAGGACGATCTCAGCCAGCCAGCACAGCACAGCTAGCATAGCTGAGCCACTGGAATGAAAGTGAACATCCAGCTGTGTGCCCCCACTACGGAGCATGTTCGGCCAGGCTTGGTCCTTAAGGGCCTGCCGGAAAAGACCAAAGCTCAGTTTCTCTGTGAACACCGCATCCAAGACCTGAGCATAAGATTCCCGACTTGGCGTCTGGCCGTTTGACACGACGCACGAGAAGAGTGCCAGAGCCATGCGCCACTGACGTGCAGTGCCGCATGCCATGATGCCTGCATTGAAACTTATCTGATTTCGTATGACACTAGCTGCAGGCATCTGCGCCAACAGAAACAAAGCCATCTGCCACTCACCACCTTTCTCACATGCGCTGATGCCTGCACTGAAGCTTATCTCATTTGCTCTGACTCTAGCTGCAGGCATCTGCGCCAACAGAAACAAAGCCATCTGCCACTCGCCACCTTTCTCACATTCGCTGATGCCTGCACTGTAGCTTATCTCATCTCGTATGACTC